ACCCATGGAAACCGAGTCTCTCCCTGTTCTCCCGCAGTAGAGTGTGGAGTGTTTTGGAAAATGCTGATGTCCAGGAAGCAAGCTCTTCCCTCTTGCCCTGTTCAGTACCCCGGAGTGACCACTTCCTCCCTAGACAGAGAGGGAGAGCAGAGGAGTGTCCAGGAACTGTCTGTGGAGAAGGGAGGTGGGAGAACGTTATTCCGTACGGTGTTATCGTTCCTCTCTTTCTAACCAGGTGGCGGGGAGGTGGTGTGTGAAAGAAGGGCAATGTTCCTATATACCCAACCCAAAGGGGCCCAGCTCCCTTTCTCCCTCCAACTCCGGGGCAGGGCACATACAGGAAGTCGTCCTGCGTGTTGCCGTTGAAGGTGCCACAGAGGCCCACAGTATCCTCCGCCCACCGCTGGTCCACCTGCAGGTAGAGGCGAAGGCCTTCATGGTCGTACAGCACCCGCACGCCCACGTTGGTCCTCACCCGCAGGAACACGGAGGACAGCCTCCTGATCTCAAAGGCATCTGGGCACAGAACCAGAGGGGGATGTAGGAAGTTGGGCCAATGAGCAAACATACCCCACCCACTGCTGCCACTCGGGGAGCCCATGGACCCCCACACCAAGGAGCATACACTGATTCTATGCTGTGGCTTGGCTTGAGGAGCCTTGAAGAAATCCTGTTCAACAACGAAATTAGGATGCAGGCAGCCCTGGCTGAGAAGTTTAACATCAAGTGCTGATTGTAAAGCTTTAATTCCTCTTCCAGCAATGGCTACCTCTTATCCTACTATTTCTATTTTTAAGATTTATTTATTTATGCATACAGAACTGGGGTACAGGCTAGAAGTATGGAGGGTGAGAGAATTCACCAGAGACAGAGTGGGGATGCAGAACAGGCAGATATATTGAAACACACTGCTAAGGGGAGCAAGGCGTGGGTCAGAGCGGTCTCCTGGGCCATGTGGGTCACCTCTCTGGTTGGGGTCGAACTCATGCTGCAATGGCTGTGGAGAGCTTCATAGTGCTGCATTTTAACCTGTCGTGCCACCAGGGAGGGCCCTATCCTACTATTCTTTTCACGATGTCCACCCCAAAGTCCAGAGTCTGGTTCTAGATTCAGGTGTAACAAGGTTATATTTTAGATTGTCTACCTCTTGTGGCTTGTGTTTCTTTGGTCTCTTTGCACCCCGATGTCCTTGTTCTCTCACTCCAGAGCCCCTATTCTTTTTTAATTTTCTCCAGGGCTAGCTTACTTTGGCATCATTTTGCCATTTCTGTTAGATATTTTCTTTAAACTACCACAAATCCCCTATGACCCAGACAGGATACTGAATAATTATTAATAAGAATAGGTGGGAAACAACCCCTTCCTATGCTAATGTTAACAGAAGCCATCACATTGCTATGAAGACTATTGTTATGCTGGAGTCAGGCCAAAGACATATTTTAGGGGTCCACATTCCTGGGCCCAAGGTGCCCCTCGGCCTGATTCATCCAGTACAACAGTGTGGGGTCTTCCCATGTGCCAGTGCCTTTGGCCAAAGGTGCCTGGAAAAAGAAGCCTGGGGAGACAGGTCCCAGCTAGCTCTTCTCCATCAGAGCCGTACCATCCGTATAGGGCGGGGTGACCTTGTACTGGTCAAACAGAAGGACATCTCCAGCTTGAGTCAGGGTCACCTGCCTCCGAGGGTCCTGGTGCAGAATCACTGATACTGACTGAACACAGACTCCATCCTGGTTCTGGAGAGAGAAAAGCAATGGGACATTTAGCATGCCCATGCTGGTGCCAATGGAGCCGTCCAGAGGCAGGGATTCTAGTGTTGTCTGAGACCAGGAGTAGGCTCTTCACAGACCTGGGCTACTACAATGCAAAACGATGGTCAATTTTAAATACCTATGATACAGAGGGCTGGGAAGGAGCCCAGATGGCTCAGCATCTCGCCTCAGAAACACTGGCCTCCCCTACCCAACTACAATCCAGGACTTTCATTTTATCCTTTGATGGGTGTTTGTATAGCTCTTTCCATGTGTCACATCCTGGAGAGTATCCTCCACTCACAGCCAGGCAGGGAATAAGCTCTTCACTAAGAAGAGACCTGGCTCATGGTGAGAAGGAAGCGCTGTCAAGAAGCACAGACCATCAGAGGTGGAGGTTACCTCAGGCCCAAGAAGGCAAGCTACCTATGTAGAGAAGCCATACTATTGCTAGGAAGCCCACTGTTATGTTGGGGTTAGGGCAAAGACATTTTTTTTTTAATAATAGTTTATTTTTACATCATAAAAATGTGCCTTTTTCTATCTCAGCTGTAATCCCCGTGGGCTTCCCATCACCAAATCACCCATGTGCCATCACCATAGTCCAGTGCACTTCCTTCCTATCCCCACCATTTTTGATGTCATTCCCCACTCCATCCCCATAAAATGTCTCTGGTATGTAGCAGTTCATTATTATTGTTATTTTCTCGCCTGGTCCATTATACTCCTGCTATGTGTGAAACCATCCAGTATTTTTCCTTTTTTTCTGGCTTATTTCACTAAGCATGATCTTTTCTAGCTCCATCCATGTTGCTGCAAAAGACGTGTTTATTTTTTTTGTTTGCTGAGTAATATTCCATTGTGCATATGCACCACATCTTTTTAATCCAGTCATTTACTTTTGGGCATTTGGGTTGTTTCCATGTGAGGCAAAGAATATTTTAGGAGTTCACATTCCTAGGACCAAGTACTAGATCCTGGGACCTGATTCACCAAGTACTAGAATTTGTTGGGGGAGAGGGGAACTGAGTAAGGGACCCCTGAGGTCCACAGCCCTCAATTAGTCAATCACTCGAGGGCTCCTGAGTGGGAAGGAACCTAGCTGAGCTGTGTTTGTCTATCTGGCCTCAGGATGTGATGGAGTGATGCCACTTTTGAGGTCAAGTTTCCTAATCAAAGAGCAATCTGGGTGGAGAAAGGGAAGGGAGTCATTCAAGCCTAAAGAGGAAGGAAGTTCTCATCATCAGCTAAACTATGGGCAATGCAGTGGCCATATCTATCCCAGTTCTGCAAGCTGGGCATTTTCTCATTCTGTCTGTCTACACTGACAGATGCAATCTAGGGGACTCTTCCAGGAAGCCTTTTCTGAGCCACCTTCTTCCCTGCTCATCACTTGGGCAAAACAATGAAAAGTTCCTCCATGGAGACCTTCCCTGTACTCACCCTGTTCTCACAGTTCCTATAACACAGTGTGTAATGAGGTGACTTGTCTGCCTCACCCACCAAATTATAAGATCCAGGAGGGGGGAACCTGTCTAATTCCCCCTAGTTTCCAAGACCAGACACATCTGACACGATTAGATGTTCAGTATTTACTGAACAAATAAATGCAGATGTTGAAGGAACACTCTAATGAAGCAGAGAAGGTAAAGTTGAAGAAGACCCATTTCAGAGATTTTTTTTAAACACTGAGGCCCAGGAAAGAGAAGGAACTCTCAGCTAGGAGTGTTCTAGAGCCAGAAGTCAGTCCTGGACCCCTAGCTCTGACCAGAAAGAACAGACAGCGGTGTGAGTGAGCCATGGAAAGACATAGGGCCCTGCCCTAAGTCCCCCAGTCCCTGAGGGGCAGAGGGAAGCGATGGCTGGCGGAATGGGCTGGAGTTGCCAGCTCTTACCAGGCCGCATGGGGCGTTCTGCAGGGTCACGGTGAAGGTGCCTGATGAGCGGCTCTTGGCTAGGATGTACTGACATGTGGCAGGAAACGTGTACCGGCGGCCATCAAAGGTTGTGAAGTGGATGTCTCCAGTCACCGAGCATTCACCTGAGGAGCAGAGAAAGGAAGCCAGCCCCTGAGTACTGTCCCTCAGGTCCTGCCTCTGCTCCCAGAAGGGGGCATCAGTGTCCTGATCTCAGGAATCAGGGCGGCCTTTGAACCCTCACCTTCCCTTTGAGAGTCCCAGTCAGTGAGGAGATGCAGTTCTGCTCTAGGCATCTCTCTCTGACAGAACAGGACCTCAGTCTGGGGATCAGTCCAAGGCCTCCATCCCTTCACCCCAACACTCAGGAAGGTGTCAGGTATATAGAATCCCATATAATACTCTCCCTGACAGGGGTGAGTTAATCAGGAAAAGAAGCTCAAAAAAACAAAAGGGAGCAGGACAAGCCAATGTTACCAAGTGACCACACCTTCCCCGCCAGCAGGCCTGACCTCAGAGCTTCCCTTCCCCCATAGCTGTGAGACACAAATGGCCCAGGTGGGGGCCGGACGTACCTGGGCAGACAGATGTGCTGCACACCCACTTGCCTGCAGTGCATGTGCTGAAACAGAGACCATGGAGGCAGGGACTCACCCCTCCAGGCCTGAGGGATGGAGGGCTGAGGGGTCCATAAAGCTCTAGCACCCCCCACCCTCATTCTTCTCATCTCCAAGATGGAAGGTGGAGATCTATCCCACAGATTGGAGCTAGTGAGATTTCCTGGATTGGGAGACCCTGAGTAAGTGTCCCCTGTCATCATGGCTCCCAGACCCCAAGTGGGCAGCCCTGTGGAAAGCCTGGCTGAAGCTTAGTTTCCCCCCCCCCAACCCCCCCAGTCGTGGACACAGACCAGGCATTGCAGTCTTCCTTCACCACAGAGCCAGTCGGGTACAGGGTTCCATGGAACTCACAGGGACACTCAGCTGGTGCCACGCAGCCCCCATCCTCAAAGATCAGCCCTGGGATGACAACAAAGGCCAGTTTTAACCGCTGTTCCTGTTTGCAAACATTCAGGGATCCCCAGGGCCTGTACTAAAAAAAAATCTCATCATCCAAGGTCTTACCCTTCTGAGCCCACTTTCGACTTTCTCCAGGATAATTCTTGGTTCAGGCCAAATCTGACTCTGAGCAAATAATCCCACCTGAAGACCTCTGCTCAGAGAACCCCTAGCCTCTTATTCCTGACCTGAACAGAGACTAGCTTCTCCTTTCCACCTCTCAAAAGCATATCACTACATCTAGACTCAGGTACCACCTCTTCCAGGAAGCCTTCCTGACTGTCTTTCTCCCCACTGAATTCGGAATTCTTGTATCTCTTGTTTGAACCCATGAGCTGGCCCTCACACCATGCCTCAGATTGGAGTGGTATGTGTAAATGTCATCACTGAAACCAGTCTAACCCCTGATGTCAAGGACTGTATCTTTATTTATATATATATATATATATATATATGTATTTTTATATATATATAT